GCGGGGGCAGGGGTGGGGGAGGCTGCAGGAGCCTGAATCCAGCAGAGGAAGGGGGTCTCGGGTGGGCAGGGCAGGACATGCAGGGACCAGGGACTTCATTGCACTGGGCCTCAGTTTCCCCAGCTGTCAACCACACCGCTGAGCTCAGACGGTCCCTATTTTACGGGACACGGAGTTATGGTGTGAGCTTGGCTAAGGAACCTGTCTACACTGTGACTGGCAGGAGGGTTAAGACTCAGGTCTGGGGCCAGTGGTGGCGTTACGGCTATGTTGCTGGACTCCCACGTAGTCGACTGCAGTTTGAGTGCCGGACCCAGCGACTTGAAACTCATGCCACGTACGGGTGAGCATGCCAGGTACGTGTGCGTGCGTGCCCAAGATCCCGAGAGGAGAATGGAGGAGAAGGGATTGCGGCGTGGCCATCCCCCCTGGGGGGTGATTTCTCGCTTTCTGTCTCTGTGTCTTGTGCATGTGCCTTATGGCAAAAACCTCTCAAAAACAAAAACAGAAAAAAACAACTCAGGTCCCTGGCCAGCAGGTGGCGTGTTGGTTAAGGCAACTGGATCCCACATGGCTGACTTTGCAGTTCAAGTCCCAGAGAACAGAGAACGGATTGCAGTGTGGCCATCCCTCTTGGGGGGTGATTTCTCTCTCTGTGAGTACATGGACCCTCTAGCAAAACTTAAAAAACACCCTCTCAGGCCTGGAAGGGAGGCGGGCATCGACACGTCCCGCCGCAGGGCCGGCAGAGCATGATTCCCAAGCCGCCCTGTTGTCTACCCTTGGCTGGACCCGAAGTGCTCTGGAGAATGAGATGGGCATGGTCCCTCCCTCAGGCCATTCCCATCCTGGTGGACACAGAGGCTGGGCTTCAGAGACACTCAGGGGGCAGTCAAGGGTGAGTGGTGCCAACGGCAATCAGAGAGGGCTTCCTGGAGGAGTAGCCCAGACCCAAGAGGTGAGGGGACTGACCTGGCCAAAAGGAGACAAACTCTGAGTCAGTGTTGTCTGATCAGACAGGGCACAGAAGGGACAAGAGGAGGGGTCTGCAGCCACCAGGGCCTGCAGTGCCCAAGAAACGACCTAGACTTCACCCGCAAGCTGTGGGGGCTGCGAGGTTCGGGAAGATCTCTGGGGAAGGGGGAGGGCGAGCCAAACCGCCAGGGTCTGCAGAGGGAGGAGGGAGTGGAGCTTTCGCATCTTGGTCCCAGGCATGGGCAGTGGGTTCTGTGGCCTGAGTCCCGCCGGCGCTGCCTGCTCACCTCCTCGCCAGATTGGGGAGCGGATGCTGCCATGCCGGGCCCGCCCGCCACCTTTCTGCGGCCAGGGCTTCCTGCCGCCACCCCGCACCTCGGCCCTCGTCTTGGTCTTGGCGTAGCTCTGCAGGTGCAAGGAGAGGGCGGAGTTGGTGCCCGTGGCTCTGTCAACAGGAGCATGAGCGCTCCAGGGAAGGAGGAGGAAGAGAGAGAAATCAGAGGACCCCCCACCCGCAGTGTCAGCCTCACAAAGGCAGGGGGGTGGCACTGATACAGAGGTCCCCAGCAGCCATCTTTGGGTGACTTTAGAATATCGACATGGAGGCCAGCAGACGACACAGCAGTTAAGGCACTGGACTCCCACATGGCTGACCATGGTTCCAGTCTGGACCTGGTGGCTTGCTTTCTCACTTTCCCTTTCTCTTTCTCTGGTTGAATTAAAAAACATGTGCCCAGCATGGTTTTCAAGCCGCCAGGTCCAGGACTCAAACTATGCATTTGCCCATCTGTGATCCAGCACCTTAATCACTAAGCAACCTGCTGGCCTCTAGACACGGGGCTTCTTATGGTCTTGCCGCAGGGCCTTTGCAAGTGCTGTTCTCATTCATTCCACCCCAACCCTGCTGCCCCCTTCATCTGGCTAGCTTCCATCGTAGACCTGAGATGAAATGTCCCTTTGTCCCCTGGGATGACTGCCCGTAATTCCACATTTGCAGGCATGACTTAGTTCATGTTCTCCTCTCCCACTAGACGTGAGCTTCGTGAGGGTGGGGACTGCTTCTCTGAGCCACTGCTCTCCCCTCACCCAGCACAACACCCAGTGGTGAGCGTTCAGTATGTTTGAAAACTGACCCATCAGTGAGGGGTTCAGGAGAGATGATATGACCGAGCTGAGCCATCCAGAGAAAACACTCCAATGGGCTTCCTCTGCCTCCTGCCCCTGCCCCCAGAGGAAGCTGCCCCCTCTCCCCCCATCCATGCAGGGCACTCACGATTCTCTTGAAGTTCTTCTGCCAGATAGCGACCTGGTGCAGGATATCGAGTCTGTAGGGGAGGATGGAGAAGTGAGAAGTCTGCTTCTGGGACCAAACAGGTGCAGCAGTAAAACCCGACCTCTGGGAGGCAACCCCACATGGGAAGGTTCCTGGTTCAATTCTGGGGACCTCCCTGAGTATGTCGAGTATGTGTGTACCCATGATCGGGGCCCACTGAGGCTAGAGGTGCACTGCGGTGTCAGGACCCTATATTTTCTTTTAAGAATTATTTGTTTGTTATTAATATATTTTAATTTGACCAGAGAGAGAATGGAAAAGTGAGAAAGCAAGCCACCGGGTCCAGGACTAGAACAGCAGTTGGCCATGTGGGAGTCCAGCACCTTAACCACCATGCCACCTGCCAGCCCCTCAGGACCCTTTGTCTCTCTCTTGCTCTTGGAATACTTTTAAGAAAACCCTCACTTGGCTCATGTGCCAGAATTAAGTCATTTAATTGTCACAGCGACCTCCTGAGGTCTGATTGATTAGAGACACTGAAGCAGAAGGGGGAAGGCAGGATTTGAACTCAGTCTGTCAGGCTCCACAGTTCTGTGTCCTTAATCCCCCAGAGGTTGTTATAATACCTCGCAGTTCTCAACCTCACACACCCTTGCGGCAGAGAAAACCATCATTCTCCGTTGACAGGTGGAGAAACTGAGGTCCTTTCCCAAGAATAAGAGTCCTGCTGATCCTGATCGCTGTCCCTCCCAAGGCTCCTCATCCCTTTGCCACCCCGTTCACCAGTACAGTCCCCATGCACCTGGGCGCAGTGGCGAAGACGTCAGGGTGCAGCTCAGCCAGGCCCACTCGCTCCTGCTCATAGCCCCGCAGGGACTCGACCCACGCCTGCACGGGACGCTGGTGAGCGGATACCGGGAGTTCGCATTTGCGCAGCACGGGTGCCTGGAGACCTGGGGCGATTGGGAGGCCAGGGTCAGCGTGAAGGGTCACAGCTGTCCCTCGCCACCTCTCAGGGAGCGACCTCAGCTGCTCACCCTGGTTCGTTGTCGGCTCTGATTTGTCCACCTGCCCCGTTGCCTCTTCCACCAAAGAGCTCAGGCCCTGTAAGAGATGGGCGAGAGTGAGACGAGCCCCGGGCTCCCTGACCTTTGCCTTCCGACCGTGTCCCCAGTCCCCGGCCTCACCCGGCAGCCCGCCGGCCGAAGGCAGGCCCGCACCCCTGCCCGGACTAGCTGCAGCATCGCGGTGCAGCTCTGCACGCCTCGGGAGGTCAAGGCTCCCTCCGGTCGCGCGCGGCGCCTGGCGATGACGTCACGCCCGCGCCGCCGCCCTCCCCGCTGGGATTCGGCGCTGGACTGCGGGATAGGTAAGCGCAAAGATGGTGTGTCCCGGCCCGGCGTGCTCCCACCTTGGCCCTAACACTAACCCCCTCTCCCCCCCGCAGGCCTCACCCCTAGATTGCCGCGGTGCAGGAACCAACCAATGAGGCCGCCCCGGCCCTATTCAGCCAATGAGCGTTAAAGTCTGGAAGGTTGGCCCGCCCACTTCTGGGTGGCCCGATAGGGGCGGGCACTTAAGGGAATCTGACCAATCGTCGTTAAGCTTTTGATGTGGGCCACGCCCTCACGGAGCCTCTGACACTCTGGCAGGTGTTTTTTTCTCTCTGCAATTCCGTGGTTTTGTTTGTTTATTTGTTTGATTGTTGAAAGGCGGGACCTTATCGCCCGCGGAAAACCCTGGCTCCCAGCAGTTTCTATCCCCTCGGGCAGCATATGTCCTGAAAATCCTCTGAATATGTCTGTGGGTCCCCCACCCCCTCTACCCGGCTTTCAGACCTTCCAGGGTTCTTCCAGAACTCGGCAACGTGGGGAACCCACAGACTTGTTTGTTCTCGTGCCCGGGCCCCCTACAACAGAAATGTAGATATTTATTTTTAGTTCTTTGCCACTCGACCTCCAGGAGGCGCCACAAGCCCAAGGTAGAATTGCCTACCCGGCTAGGGTTGTCTGGGCCAGCCCACCTCCCTCAGTATCCTGAAAATTGGGAGCGTTTTGAGCTTTTTGGCGAAATGATGGGGGCGAATTATGCCATGCCTAATACAGGGTGAAAGTTCAATGAATAGCATGATTATTACTGGACAGGAGTTTCCTCAGGCCAGAACTAAAAGAAGGATGGGGATGGATCCTGGAGGGCTTGAATTTTGTGCTAAAGATGTGTGTGATGTTATTTATTTATCTGGGGGCATGTGATAAATAGTGTTTAGACTTTTTTTTTTTAGAGGTTTTTGCTATAGGGTGCGTGCGCTTGCCAGAAAGACAGAGACAGAGAGAAAGTGAGAAATCCACTCCCCTACTCCCACCCCAGTTGACTATGTGGGAATCCAGTGCCCCTAACCACCATGCCACCTCCAGGTCCCCAATAATTCTTTTTAAAAAGAAAAAAACCACACTGGGCATATGTGCATGCATGCCCCCAAACCCAAGAGGATAATGAAGAAGGTCTTGCAGGGTGGCCATCACCTGCTGGGGGTTGCTTTCTCACCTTCCCTCTCTCCTTCTCTCCAGCAAGTGCGTGTGCCCCTATAGCAAATTAAAAAAAAAAAAAAAAGAAAAAGTTTGCCCAGTGGCATTCAATTTGAGCAGATACAGGTTGGAATCCAGGGGCTTCCTTAAACTTGCTGAGTGTCCTAGGGCGAGTGGTGACTCCGGGAACTGTGGCCTCCTGACCTGTGTGTGGGACCCTCGGGAACCCTCCTCTGCTGAGCTGTGCTGAAGGTCAGAGTTCACTTTCCTACCACCCTGTTGGCTCAGTCTCCTTCCTGTAAACACAGAGTCACATCGTGTCCCTCCTCTGCTCAGACCCCTCCCTATTCACTGAGAGCAAAATGCAAAGTCCCCATGGCAGCCCCCAAGCCCCGCATAAGCTACCCATGCTGCAAGATGGCTTCTGCGATCTATTCAGGTTCTTGGTGTTTGGGGCAAAGAATTGAATGATTATTTTTTAAATTATTTAACTTTTTATTTATAATAATTTTTTTTTATTTGACCAGAGAGAGAGAGAGAAAGAGCAAAAGTGAGAAAGTAAGCGCCAGAACCAGGACTTGAACTGCCGTTGGCCCTGTGGGAGTTCAGTGCCTTAATCCCACATCACTTGCCAGCCCAGGAAAAGGCAGTTGATGAAGTGAAAGTGGAAGTACTCTCCCAAGAGGTAGGAGTGGGCCTGAGCAGGGACAAAGTGGCTCCAGGGACCTAGCCGTTGTATCCTGTGATGTGTATGATTTTTTTAAAAAGAATTATTTATTAGGACCAGCAGATGGTGTAATAGCTATATCGTTGGACTCCCATGTAGTGGATCGTGGTTCCACTTCCAGACCCGGTGGCTTAAACTCACGCCGGGCACGTGTGCATGCGTGCCCAAGATCCCGAGAGGAGAATGGAGGAGAAGGGATTGCGGCATGACCATCCCCCCGGGGGGTGATTTCTCGCTTTCTGTCTCTCTCTGTCTTTCTGGTGAGTGTACATGCCCTATAGCAAAAAACTTTCATTAAAAAAAAAAAAAAAGAATTATTTATTTATTTATTTGATTCCATGTGTTTTTATTATTTCTTAGTTTGACCAGATAGAAAGAGAGAGAAAAGGAAAGTGAGAAAGGAAGCCACCAGGTCTGGGACTTGAACCACAATCGGCCGTGTGGGAATCCACTGCCCTTAACCACCACACCACATGCCGGCCCCTGCTGTTTATAATCTTTTGAAAAAGAATGATTTATTTGGGGCCAGAAGGTGGCGTGATGATTAAAAGCACTGGACTCCCACACTGATTTATCTCCTTGGATCTAGGTCAGATGTAGCTTAATCTGGTAGACACTCCCCTCACCAGAAATCTACCTATCTCGGGTGGAGAATTTTCTGTCCTAATTAGTCTCTCTTTCTTTCTTTCTTTTTCTTTCTGTCTGTCTGTCTGTCTGTCTTTCTTTCATAGAGAGATTTTTGGTATAGGGCGTGTGCACTCAGCAGAGTGACAGAGAGACAGAAAGTGAGAAATCACCCCTGGGATGGCCCCACTACAATCCCTTCTCCTCCTTTCTCCTCCTGGGATCTTGGACATGCACGCACATGCGCCTGGTGTGAGTTTTAAGCTGCCGGGTCCAGAACTCGAACCACCGTTGACTATGTGGTAGTCCGGGGTGACTATGTGGTAGTCCGGGGGGCGTAACCATCACTGCCGTCTGTTGGTCCTGCAATCAGCTTTTCCCTCCAGCCACAAAGCCGATGCTCCACCCCCTTATCTAGCTTACTCCTGCCTCCCCCTCACCTCCTCCCACCTCCCCTATCACTCTGGATCTTCAGCCACCAATCACTTTCCAGCCTCAGGGCTTTTGCATGGGGTATTTGCATTAGGGGTATTCCTTCTTCAGGGACCACTGTCCCCCATGCCTGCCTGCCTGCCTCACTCGCTCCCCTCTCTCAGGTCTTCGCTCAAAGGTCACCTTCTGGGTGACTGGGTCTCAAGTCCCCTCCCCTTCTTATCCTTCCTTCCTCATCTGCCTTCCCTGTTTCATTTGTCTCCAGAATTTCTATCGAATTCTAACAGAGGACACCAGGCTCTTCGCTGTCCTGTTTCTCTCCTCTGTGTCCTAGACCTGAGAGACAGGGGTCTTTCATTTGTCACTGCTGGGTCCCTTTGCTAAGAAGAGTGCCAGGCAACTCGTAGGCCGTCAGTACAGAGTAACTGCCGAGAGGGGTTTGCACAGGGCTTGGCCAGGGCCACATTGATTAGGAGTCTTAGTACCGGGAGGGAGTGACCTCGGGACCTGCACACCGAGAGGCTCAAAGTTTGACCACTTTGGCTGGAGCCTGGGTGGAGGTCAAAGGTCCATGGGACAAGCAGGGCCTGTGGAACAAAGGCTTCACTGCAGGCGCCCTCTGTCCCCTGTCACCTGGGGCCAGCCTCAACCTTGCAGCCCAGCCAGGGTCTTTGTTGGCCAAGGGTATCACAGCAATTTAGAGAGCACGCCTTGAAACTGGAGGGCTCAGGGCCAGCAGGTGGGATGGTGATTGAGGTGCTGGACTCCCACATAACTGACTGTGGTTCGAATCCCGGACCTGGTGGCTTGCTTTCTCACTTTCCCTCTCTTTCTCTCTCTCTGGTCAAATTTAATAATAATAGGGCCCAGCAGTTAGCGTAATGGCTGTCGCTGAACTCCCATGTAGTCGACCACTGTTCACGCCCCGGACCCAGTGGCTTAAAACTCACGCCGGGCGCATGTGCGTGCGTGCCCAAGATCCCGAGAGGAGAATGGAGGAGAAGGGATTGCGGCGTGGCCATCCCCCCGGGGGTTATTGCTCGCTTTCTGTCTCTCTGTCTGTCTGGCGAGTGCATGCACCCTATAGCAAAAACCTCTCCAAAAAAAATTAATAATAATTATAATTATTATTATTGGGGTCAGCAGATGGCATGGTGGTTAAGGTGTTGGACTCCGAAATCACCCCCCAGGGAGGATAGCCATGCCGCAGTCCCTTCTCCTCTATTCTCCTCTCGGGATCTTGGGCACGCATGCACATGCACCCAGTACG